GTCTTGAACTCCTGAGCTCAAACAATCTGCCCGCCTTGGCCTCCCAGAGAGCTAGGATTACAGGCGTGAGCCACCGCGCCTGGCCGAACCTTTTCATTCTTGACAGAAATCTTCTGTCATGAAATAATAGAAAATTCTATGCATCCTTTCTTTCTGTGTATTTTGACTCTATTAAAGCAGGCATTTAGCACTATACAAAGCACGTAAATCATTATGCACTGTGACATTTTAGCCTAAATCTGAGGATGCAGGGGTAGTTTTTTTGTGATTTTAGTGAGACAGGCCTCTGGAAGCCTGTGCTTGGTTATTCTCAGGCTTCACCCCATGTACCCTTCCTCTTTGCTGATTTTGTTCTGTCTCCTTTCCCAGGGGAGTCACACAGGATGGTTTTATTCACCAGTGCGTGTGATAACATGTGAGGTGTTTTCTACCAGCGAAGCTTACTGGAGACGCATTGCTCAGGGCTTTTGTTGAGGCTGGTCACACAGGCCCCGCCGCCTGGCACGCACCAAGACCCGAAAGCCAGTGGTTACAAGCCGCATCGTGTGTACAGACAGTGCAGGCCCGGTGAGGGCCTCTTATCGCAGGCTGCTGGGGACCCTCCCAAATCCAAGTTCTCAGAGTAGCCAAGGGCCAGCCTTGTAAGCAGCTAAGAAGGATGGCCATCCTAGGCCTGCCGTGTGAACTCTGTGACCTCCCGTTGGTGATGTTAGATTTGGTCACTTGGTCAAGGAATTGTGTGGTTGCTCCATGGTATGGTCACTTTTTTCCGCTTGTGATTAATAAGCCATCTCTGGGGAGCCACTCTGAGAGCGTGTGAGTATCCTGCTCCTTATCCAGCTTTCCTGCTTAGATTTAGCCTCCAGTAGTGACTCTTTCCTGAAGCGGTCTTTACTAAGGGTCGCTAACCCCACTCTGCCCGCTCTTGTCAGCCCGAGCTCTGCTCGGAAGAGTCGTCCATGGAGCTCTGTGTGCTCAGTGGGTGTAGTCGGTTACCCTTACTCTGATGCTCAGGTTGTCCCAGATTTGACTGATGAGAGTCACTTCAAGCTGGGTCCCATGTCCTTTTGAGCACTTTCTAATAACTTTCAGGCATAACAAGATATTTCAGGTTCTTGTAGCTTGGGACCCTTGTCCTGGAATCAGCCATTTCTTCACAGCCCTAGTTGCTTTGGCAGTAGGTGTGCTCATGGCTTCCAGAGCAGTACTGCTTCTCTGCCCCTGGAGTCGACAGAGCTAAGAAAGGCTGTGTCTTAGAAATCTTGGGTTGATACTGCTGCCTCCAGTTTTAGTTTAACCCCACAGGTTTCTTGCCTTGCCCTCTTCCATGTTCATATATATACTCTCAACAGTATCAACACATTTACTTATTTGCTCAGTCCTGCAATGTGCACGAGATAGTTTCAGCATTGCCACACACACTACAACTAAAAACAAACCTAAGAAGAGCCCCAGTTTGCTTGCAGTTAATGCTTTTCCTAGACCGGCAGCATGTGCTCATAGTGTGTATTAGCTTCATCTTTTCAGTGTTTTCTTAGTTACTCTTGCAGGTTTGACTTTGGTATTTTAATTGGGATCATATTAAGTTTAGAAATTAACATATGCAGAACTAACATCTTGTTGTTAAGACATCCTAAACAAGAACAAGGGATGTCTTTCCTTTTGTGGAAGTCTGCT